CACCGGGCCCCCCGCTCCGGGGGCCGCAAATCCGGGGGAGCAGGGTGCGAGCGACGCGGTCCCCTGCCCCCCAGCTGCAGGCCAGCCCTGCCGGCTTTGTCCCAGGGGCGCTGGCACCAGCCGAGCATCACGGGTGAGGAGAAGACCCCAGGATCTTCTTGGGTGGCTGGGGCAGGAGGGAGCGGGGAGCCATGCTGGACCCGCCCTGCCGGCTTTGTCCCAGGGGCGCTGGCACCAGCCGAGCATCACGGGTGAGGAGAAGACCCCAGGATCTTCTTGGGTGGCTGGGGCAGGAGGGAGCGGGGCGCCCTGCTGGACCCACCGCCCGGCTGCAGAGCGGCTGAGCGGGCCCCGGGGTCTCGGGGGGCTGGAGGAGGAGCCCGCGAGAGGCGTGGGGGGCTCCTCCCTGCCTGCGCTGCCCTGCGGGGCCAAGGGCTGCTCTGCCCCCTGCCTGTCCCCCCCCAGCCCCAGGGCAGAGCCCGGGCCCCCGCCCAGGGGAGGGAGGCGTCGTCCCTCCCCCAGGGCAGCCCTGGGGACCGTCCTCGATGTCGCAGGGCCACCTGCTGGAGACAGCCCTCGAGATCCGACACCTCCCCGGCCCTGGCCGGCACCGCAGCCAAACCTGGGGCTCACCACGCTGGCCTCTCCATCAGGGACCCCCCATCCCGATCCCCACTGCTGGCAGCAGCATCTGCCTTGTCCCTAAAACGCCACCCCCTGCCAAGCCCACTGTCCCCCCAGGGCTCTGCTGCCTGGCAGGGGGGTGCGGACCCTCTGACACCTCCTGGGACAGGGCAACCCTGATCTCTCTACCCTGTGGGATGCTCGAGCCTGGGCTCCCCTGCTGCATCCCCCATCACTGGGGCAGAGGAGCTGAAACCAAGACGCCCGCCACCCGACCCTGGGGAGGGGGGCTGTGTGTTGGGGGGAGAGGGCGTAGGGGGCAAGTTAGGCTGGAGGTTGAGCCTCGGGTGGGGGTAGGCATGGGGTGGTGGGGCTGATGCCCACTGGCATTTGGGATGGGGGGGGGGGGGGGTGTGGGGGGGGGGGGCGAGGCAGGTGTGGGTCTGGGGCAGGGCTGGCCTGGGTGAGGGCAGAAAGGGGGTGGCTGTGGGGCTGAGAGCTACCAGGCCATGGTGTGAGGCACTGGGTGTATGGCGGGGGACAGGGACGGCCACCCAGAGAGCCCCTCCAAACCTGCTCATGGCTCAGCTGCCACTGCCCATGGTCCCATCAGAGCTCCCCCACCCAGTGCAACTGGGAAACCCACCACCACAGGCAGGGAAATGCTCTGGGGTACTGGGGTACCTTCAGTGTGAGGGACACACACATTTTGGGGGAACCAGTAGCCTAGGGAGGTTTGGGGGGTTTCTGCCCCCCACATCCACCCCAGCCCTGGGGTCTGTGCGATACTCCCCCCGGATGTCCCCTCCCCACCACCCCATCTCATCCCTGCCCCAGAGATGCACCGGGAGGAAAGGGTGATGCTCCGCTGTTTATTTCAGCCGCCTGAAGAGTCACGTAGACGTGGTGGGGTGGGGGTGCAGTGGGG